ACACACTGGACCTTTAAAGAAATACTATAAAATAAATATTAAAACGTTTGATATGAATCAACCTCTGTTGTACTGAGGATCATTAAAGTCCACCTCGAGTCAAAAATCTGTATTTCTTCTTGTTGCTGTCTTGTGGCTACAGTCTGATGTTTAATCTTCACTGCAGAATGATGTATGTGCAGAGTCTGACATTAGTAGGATGTTTTCACATGTATTTGCTGAAAGTGGAAAGTTTATCTATGCTCATTGAAAACCTGATTTTAAGAGGCCAGCATGAGTTGTGACATCACAAATAGTTTGGAAGTCCATCCTGGTTCGGTATGCAACTTCTACAAGTGTGATGTAGGAACTTGAAGCCAACAGTGCACATACTTGGACTTTACGGTGAAGTAGGAGACATCTTGTGTCCACTAGGAAAACTTTAGAAATGAACAACATTTACATATTCAGAGATTCTGGTATTATAATGAGGTAGAAGGAGTAGATGACTTTTTAAGGATTGGAATGTGGAATTTATACTTTTTTTGTGGAAAAAACATATCACATCATTATTGTTCCAAACCTATCATTTGTATATGTTGTAATACATCTCTGGAGGGGATCTTAAAGAAATTGGTACAAGTTTGCAAATGATGTTACAGCCCCAGCCCCAGCCCCATACAGTACAGCTGTGTTTTTCTGTCTGTAGGCCGTATCTAATACAGGTCTTGTTACATATTGGAAACATTGGGTTTGTATAGCTATAAATGTATCATTTTAAAGCTATAAACAACATTCTACAAGTTTTATTTTAGGTATTGGAAGCCAGAATCAGTTATTTAGTTTGTTATGGAAATGATCTTGGGTTTCTCCTCTGCAGTCTTCAGTGTTCTCCTTCCAGAATCAGACTTCACTCCAGTGAATTAAAGTGATTACCAGGATGCACCATTGCTCTTCTGCTTCTTTTTTTTTTTTTTACATTTAACATAACTTTAAAGCTGCAGTATGCAGAGACTGATAATATGTGAAAAGATCATGTTCCTCCTCCTAGTTCTCCAATTGACATTTGCAAGAATCCACCGGGGCTGAACTAACACAACCAATCGGAACCAAAGGTAGAAAGACACTTGGTTGGTGACTTTAAGAGCCTAGTGTCAATATTTGACAACCTGGGAATGAATCTCAACAATCAACTATCTTTTGTTGTTTTTGTTCTTGTACCTTTAGGCACATGCAAAAGTTTCAAAGTGAAGAGGGGAATTCCTAAAGTCAGCCAAATTATACATTTCACCAACAAGTTCTCCATTACTAGAAGCTGATCTATAGACATAATTTCTCTACCCATAATACACCAATCTGGATCAATGGATGTGTAATAATTAAGAAGAAGTTACTTTATTTTAAAGAATGGATAGAGAAAGGGGAAATAGTCTATTCAACATCTAATGGAGGACAAAACAACATGTTGGACTACAATGAGTTTAGGTGGATGAATAAAATATAACGTTCTAGAAAATTTTGCTCTGTGTTCAAAAGGGCCATGATGTGCACATCAATAGCACCTAGACTTTTTCACTTTATTATAGGTTGCACCTTTTTAGACAAGAACTGTGATAACATATTTTTATAGGTATTGTTGTTTTTTAGATTAGTTTGCTTTATTGATTTATTTGTTTTTCTTTTCTCTTTTTTTAAATTTCTGTTTAAGTATGCTGCTTGGATTCATTGTTTGGTATACTTACCAACCATTGCCGATGCCTGTGTTAGAAGTTAAGAAGAAGTTTAATAAAGGCAAGGTAAGAATAATAACTCTGATATACATGCCATATTTAAAAAAGTGGTTTCTGTACCAAATGTAGTTTCCTACTGGAACAATTTATATCTTGCTCTTGGGTGCCCGGTTAGCTCAGTCGGTAGAGCTGGCGACCCATGTACAGAGGCGGAGTCCTTGCAGCAGCGACCCAGGGTTCGAATCCGGCCTGCGGCCCTTTGCTGCGTGTCATCCCCTCTCTCTCTCCACCCACCTTTCCTGTCTCAAATAACTAATTGCTTTTTTATTTTTGTTCCCTGCCAAGCTACTGCTCCACACTCCAATCCAGTAGGTGGCGACAATGTACCTCTAAGCTGATTTGCCAACCGCCATTAAAATCCAAAGAGGAAAAGGATGACGTCAGGACGTATTTGCTGGTGTACTTTCCTCCTGTAACTAAGTTAGCTAGCCTGTGCATCTTTGAAGGTTCAGCTTAATTCACTGACAACTTGTTTGTGTAAATTCACTTCATATTCACATCTTCGGCAGCACCATGAGCACGCTGTGGATGGGGAACGTGAGTTGTTCATTTTATACTGCGATAAATCATTCAGTTGGACCACCATGTTAGCTAAATCAATATAACACGGTACGGTGTATGGCTGGAACGCAACGTTCATTCAGAACCTTAGAAAAGCAGCACTTTAACATTGCCTTATTGTTGGATACCACTTTGTATCGAGTAGCTGAAAGTAACTGATCAATTCGCCACACTGGGAACGCACTCCATTCCGATTAAGTCTAACGTTTTTAACCGGCTAACGCTTTATGTAATGTAGTCTGCTGTCTTCTACACGAGGGTTACATCGGTTTGAGGAAGCATAAAAATGGCGATTTCACTGGTTTTTTTTATTTTTATCTTATTCATCTTGTATTTGTTTATTTGTGTAGGGACATGTATTTGTATAGCTTAAACAACTGCCACACACCACAATATTTATAGTCTAAGATAATTTACAATGGTCGTCCCTAGATGGGCCTTTAAAATACAGTACAACTCAACAAGTACACAAGAGACTGTACAAAACACAAACTCAACTATGAGTATGAGGGCTGGTATTAGGAAGAATGGCGATACGATACATGGCCTGAATCAGTGTACAGGGGTTACGATTCAGTATATTGTGATATATTGCAATACTCTAAGCAAGATGATGTATTATGATGGGATCTGCATTTGGATGTACCACATGTACCGTTATACACAGGGCTCAGGTTCGACTTAACACTAAGCTATCTCGCTTTTTGGAATTTAAACAAAAAAATGAATACAGTGCTATTGAGAATCGATATATCACAAAACGAAATATTGCAATACCATTTTTTCTATTTTCCTTCACAGGGTTACCAAGTGTCCTGGAACATCATATTTTAATTGTATTTTAGCCCCTCACTCAAGTTACATTTGTTGTTGTGGTTTACAATTGTTAATTGTAGAGCAATGAACACTTCCCTAACCTAACCCTAACCCTAACCCTACTTCCTATAATATCCCTAAATATCTTTATTTTTAATTTATTTTTTATTTATGCTCCACTGAAGCTGCAGTGGAAAAAATGGCTGTGCTGAGAACAGCCAAGCATGCCATGATAGCAAGCTAATGTGACACTGGCCACTATTGTGAGCAAGTGGTTTTGGAGCAATGCTCTCTAAATATCAGCATTGGCCAGTGAAAAACCCATATCGGTCGACCACTATTTGCAACATCAAGGGAAGAAATGGAGTGGGCTGTGATTAATTGTTGTATATTGATTTGATCATTGATTGGCATTGAAGACTTTATCTTCAATCCTAAAATTGGAGGGGATTCTTTAAGATAAAATCTTCTCAAATTGGGGGTCCTTGGCTTAATGTGCATCTATTGTGGGGGGCCATGACCTAAACAAGTTTAGGAACCCCTGCATTGAAGTGCCATAAAACAGGACGCACCGGATCATTCATGACTATATGACTCATCCTCTTCAAAATCCGTTTCAGTGTAAAATGATCCTGGTCACGCTCCAGTTTGACTTCTGTAGGTACGGAATGAAACCAGATCTACATTAAAACCCACTGTGCTTATGTTTTTCAAACCTGGACTACACTAACATTTCCCGTTTTAGATTTGTGAGGAAAAAAATCTTGTAACGTTTTACTTTAACCTGTATAACATCCTGCTATCAATAACCTCCTGGCGAAAGGTCCTACACAACGGAAAATCCTACACAACGGACCTTTAAGTGGTCTAATGATGGCGATTCACCTGAACTTAATGTTTTTATTAACTGCATGTCTTTCTGTCACTCTATAGCTAGAGACCTATATGGATGAGAAGTTCATCACCAGAGCCTTTTCCACCATGGGTGAGCAGGTGATCAACGTGCGGATCATACGCAACAAGATGACAGGGTAAGCACTAAATCCGCAAGCACTTTCTCTTTTTGCAGTTGTTCTATTCTTACGTTAAACAGTGTGTCGTCGCCCAGGGGTGCCCTGGGTTACTGTTTTGTGGAGATGACGGACGAGGCCACAGCTGAGAGGTGTCTCCGCAAAATCAACGGAAAAGCTTTACCTGGAGCCAATCCTGTACGCAGTGCATTTACTCACACTAGCCATGTTTTTATTTCTTATTAAAGTTCCTGAGAAATAACTGGTGGACTTAAATGTCTCTCTCCTACAGCCCACAAGATTCAAGTTAAACCGAGCCACCTTTGGGAAGCAAGACAGTGGGTGAGACCAAATGGAGAAGCAGCATATCCGAGATGACACTGCCTGTGTGTCATACTGATTAACAGAGTGTTTGAGGGGTCTAAAAAAGTTTTAATCCTAAAATAAAATAGTTCTTAAATTGCATTCATAATGATCTTAAAGAAAACCTACAGAAACCCTGATTAAGATATCAACCTAATTGATTCCTCCTTTCATTGACACATCATATGTCTTCTTGACTGCACTGGGAATAAAGACCCAAACCTCTGTTTTGTCCTCTTGTTGCAGTCAGATGTATTCTCTGTTTGTGGGAGATCTGACTCCAGAGGTCGATGATGGAATGCTTTATGAGTTCTTTTACAACCGCTACCCTTCCTGTCGTGGTGGAAAAGTGGTGCTGGACAGCATGGGCAACTCCAAGTGAGTATTAACATGTCACAACACAATATGGAGAAAGTAACAAATGCGGGTGCTGTATATGTTGTTGGCCTGCACTGGTGTAGGTACTATATGTGTTTTGACCTTTCTCAAAACTTATCCAAGTGGTTTCCATAAGAGAGTCTTGGTGTACACTTGTTAGCTATAGTATGTTGTGGGTTTGCAAACTGTTGCCAAAGTTTCTGCTGTGCAGCTAACGTGCAGAGAGGATGAGATGGATGGATGGATGGATGGATGGTTGGTTTGGTTGGTTTCCCAGAGCAGCACACCAGCTCCAGACAGCAATAATCCCAACTCTCCTGCTACTATAGCTAACATCACAACAACTGCATATCTTGGTTATCTAGAAAGTAAGTAGTAAGTAATAAATCCTAACTGGAATAACAAGTTAGTGTGGTGTTGCTCAGTCAGAGCCACCCAGCTTGTTCCTCATTTACAGAGCTAGGGTGGTAAATGTAATTACCATTTTTGCCAGTGTATGTGTTTTTGGACCAATCAGCATCCTGAGGAAGTACTGGCAGCTATGGGGGTGGGCACTAAGTATGGCACAGAGAGACACTGTTCATTAAACAACAATGGTGGCTGCTAAAAGGGGTTAGCGTAGATGCTGCTAGCACAAGTTCTATCAGAACTGGAGAGTATTTCTTCACTGAAATAAGACCAACAAACGGCACTTCAGGCTTTTATCCATGGAAAAGATGTTTTCTCTCTTTTCCCGACTGATTTCAGTAAGGGTTGGACTACGTCATATGGTTTATTGATCTGATTGGTTGAAGTTTGCCTGTGATTGACAGTGATAGACCTGTCGAGTATTTTTTGAAAGTGCTTGCCCTTTTCCAAATGGTGTCAAATTAATTGGCACATTCAGGTTAAGGGCTTTGTACAAACTGGGATTTTCAGCACATATGCAGAGCAGAAAGCAGGCTGACTGTAAGGGGGTATTCACTGAATCTGACAAAAAGTTAATTGGATTAGAATTGCATTACCTAGAATTGCCTCCTCTTAATGATTACTCATTATTACTACACGGTTGTAGTTGAATTATTTTCTTGCTTCATCTTGACTTACATTTCATTTTCAGTCAAAGAAAGGAACATTGTGTGACTCCTGTCTATCGCGCAGTGCATGCCAGGCCCACACAACAACTCGCAAGACAGGCTGCAGTAGTGCTGCCTTTCTTTTTCCACAACCAAATATTAATTTTCACAAAATCGAGAGAATCCAGAATATTTGTTGACTCGTCTTACCCTGAAATTCCAGTGGGCACGGCCTTATGATGATGCGTGTGTAATGCAATTTGACTCCATGATCCGCGCATGATTTACTTCTGGCCTGGTGCCACAGTGTTGATATAGTGTGAAATTTGATCCTGAGTCTGCAGACTGTATTTTATTTAGAAAATTAACCGGATTCTCTATGCTGTTTCTCTGTCTGACTTCCTGTTCGTTCCGATCTGCTCTGTGCTGCTTGACATAGCTTTTGTCGAAAATAGACCAGAGGAGCAGAGCGGAGAGACACTTATGGGACACTTCTGGGACATGGCACGGCACTTCTTGTGTAATCTCAAGCATTGTCTAGAGCTCTGGTGGCTGGGGCACAGCTGGAATTTGGAGGTTAATGGTCTTATCCCAGTCGTCGACAATCACTGGATTAATGAACCTACCTCCAATCTTAATTTGTTAATGTTTGTTAGCTAACATTTTGTCAGTGTATATGTTGTGTCCCATGAAAAGCCACGTCCCTGGTGTCATTATTTCAAAGTCAAAGCTTTATTGTCAATTACTTCACATGTTTACATGCATCATACCTACAAAGGAATTGAGAGGATGTTTCTCACTCTCCCACGGTGAAACAGATAAAGTGCACAGGCACAACAGACATTTCCTAATACTAAAAGTAAACATTCAATTTCACAGATAAAAATTGAATGTTTACTTTTAGTATTAGGAAATGTCTTGTCTGTTGTGCCTGTGCATACCTGTGTTAGTCGGTAAGGCAAAGACATGCAGGTTAATTAGTGACTCTGAATTGCCTGTAGGTGTGAATGTGAGCAGGAAAGAACTGGCAACCTGTTCAGGGTTAGCCCAGTGTCAGCTGGGGTCAGCTCAAGCATCACACCACTCTGCAAAGGATAAGTGATGGTTGGTTAGGTGGGTTCACACTAACTTTACTCTTATCATAATACGTTTGCATTTAAAAAAATATATGTCTTTAAGTTATAAGTCTGTGAATAAAGATGAAGCTGTACTGATCTGCCCCCATCCCCACTAATTTGAATGCTGCCTGTTGCAGGGGTTGTGGCTTTGTTCAGTTCCCAGATGAGCGGCTGCAGAAGCGGGCTTTAGAGGAGTGTCAGGGTGCTGTGGGACTGGGTGGTAAGCCTCTGAGACTGAGCCTTGCTGCTAACAAGTGAGTTCTTCTTAAATACGTCACTCCTGTTGTCAACAAGCTAAATTTAATTGGGACCTGAGTTTAGCAGTGTGTCTTTTCCTCCCTCTTGAGTTTAAGGAACAGGCAGCAGCAGCAGCAATCAGAGCACAGATCATGGCAGTCCAGCTCAGGATACAGAAACAACTATGACCAGTATAACCAGTACCAGCAGCAGCAGGCCTATTCTGGGTATTTCTCGCCCTGGGGCTACGACCAGACTGGAGGCGGTTATGGCTACAACTACCCGCAGTATGAGTACACACAGTATCCACCACCACAAGTAAGCTCTCTCTGATAGCAGCCTGTGTTGACACCCATCCATCAGTCATTGTTAACAGACTTGAATCACCACCATGTTTTTTTCTTCTTTTTAGGAAAGCGAAAGTGAAGCTGTTGAGGATGATGGACTTGAAGGTTGGTATTTGGATGGACACTGCAAATTACTGTTATATCCAATTGATTGTGTATCAATTTGAATTTTGATTGTTTATTCTGAAGGTGATTGCTGTAGATAGTTTATTTTTGGTGATTAACTAGGGCTGTCACAATGAAAGAATTTCACCTGCAGTGATTTAGGGTGGCCATTTGTTGATAATTACTTTGTAAAGGGTACAGCTTCTCTTGTGTTAAGTTTCTTCAGCCTCACCACTCTGGGACGATTTATTTTTTTTATTTAAAAAAAACAAAACAAGTATTGACCATGACATGATGATGTAACGTCACATGGGGTTTTGGCGGTGGCTTGCCCTACCCTTTTATGGGCTACACAAGAATTTTTATGATTAAGGCTTATCTTGACAGCCCTATAATTAACAGTCCAAACAAAAACGATTTTAAATGTATAAATAACCATGCATAAATAATATATATACACACACGCACACACACTTGAAATGAACTGTCCCTGTGTTGCAGATCCCAGTCTGCAGCTGGATGTAATAGAGGCCAACAGGAAGTTCATGGAGATCAGTGAGGAACTGTATGATGCTCTGATCGAGTGTCACTGGCAGCCAGCAGAATTCTCTACAGAACAGGACTGTATGACATCCAGCCTACCAGAGCCCATTTACTGCTGAAACAGAAAACATTTTCTTCATGTTGACAGTATGGATTATTTTTGTAAGAACATATAAAGGAAATGAGTGATGGTAATGGGTCTTATTCAAGTGTATAAACCTGTTTAAATTTACTGTGAGTACACACAAGTCCAACTTTGACACTACATCTCACTACACAACAAATGATTTGGCCTCATACAGGTTTGTGTCTGTGTTAAACAGCACCTTTTTAGTGTATAAAGATATTGAAGCCATGGGGAGGCTTTATACATAGGTATGAAATTGTGTGAAAAAATGGTTGTGAAATGTTTGGGACTAACTGTTGACGTGTGTGTGTGTGTG